AAGATTTGGCGATCAAAATAAGTTCAGTGGCGCTACCGTAATTATTTCAAAGTAAGTTTGAGTGAAAATCAGATTTTCAATTTTTACCCTTCACTTTCTCTCTCTTCCTCCTGCGTCTTCTCCCTCTGCGTGCGACAGTTTCCTCGTCACTGTACAAACCGAACAGAAACCACCGTGCCGCCGCCGCCACAGTCCACCTCAGCCCTCGAGACCGGTCCCATTCGAACCACCACATTCTCCTCTCTCTTCCCCGGCTAGCACAGCTCCTGGAACCCTCGATATTCGCCGAAAAATGCAGAAACGTCGCCGGATTTGACAGGAACTTCCAGCTGCTCGAACTTTCTCCTCCGACCATCATTTCTGACGGGTGAGGTGAGGTTTCTCATCCATTTTTCGAGTTCTAGCTGTCTGTTGCATACGTTTTGATCAATTTGTAGTCTAGGAACCAATTTGAAAAGCTAGGTTTTGGCTGACTTTCAATTTGAAATTCTGGCCAGTTACAGTACAAATTGGACCTTGTGGTAGTTGAAGAAAGTGATCCTGACCTTGAGAATAAGCTAGGCAAGGATGGGTGAGTGTTGGTGTGGAGATTTTCCGTCGCCGGAAATTTATCGACATACCCACGGCGCTGCCGGCGTGTGTGGCGGCGCCTGGGCAAGGCTGGTGAAGTTGCTTTTTATCTTGATAAGATCCTTATATTGTCACGAGTGCGTAGGATTTTACGGATCTTAATTTGGATGTCGTTTGACTATCGAACGGATTTCACATATTGTGCGTTATCCAGGTTCGATAGGTTCTAACTATTGGATCGTTTCCAAATTGAAATATGTTGATCTAGGTACTCTTACAAACCTATAGGAATTCGCGGATCGTGAATTGGAGCCCCGGATGTTCCGATTCAATAATTCGAAGTTTGGGCATTAGCTATAACCGTACGATTGGAAGCGATTCCCAAACCTGTAAGCGGACCTTAGGATATTCTATTGGACGTTCACACACCGGGAACTTGGGGATTTAAGTATTCTCTTTTGTGAATTTCCGTTTTGAAGCGCGTTATATTAATCAAGAGTTCGTATCTCGAAATAGGTACTTCGGTCGATCATTCGCAGTAGGTAAGACCCTCTCGGGGCCGGGCAGCTTGGGATTATCTGTGAGTGGACTTTGTTTTAAGCATATGCATGGTTTTATTGATAAAAGATTTGTGCATATATTTTAAATGGTGATTATGATTTAATAATTATTTGGTTGATG